CTCATATTGTAAGATCACGCAGCGGCAGATGCACCTCTATATATACAATAAAAGAAAGATATAAAAGACGTTTTTACCATCTAGCATATTAGTGTCAGAATGAGCATCAATGTGTATTATTGCTCTTTCGAGTATGTATCTACATAACTCTAAAGGTCTTGTAACTAAATTCCTGCATTTGTTTGAATGATGAATTGGATGTGATATTATGTAAATTTTGTCCACTTTACTTTTCATATAAAATGTTTAAGAGAGTAATCTATGATTTAAATGTTTATGTATACCTGCATTTGGTTTTACGGTCCTGTACAGCAAAGAAAAATGTCCCTCTTTGATAATAAAGTTTGATCTTATCTTATCTATCTTATCTTATCGTATCTTATCTTACTTATTTGTCTCAGTTGAAATTAAAGCAGCAGTGGTATAGATCTCGTTCGTTTTCTCCACAGGTTTCAGTTTTTTCAACATCGTTGCTACTCGGGGGACTGACGAACTGGACCTGGACGAAAAGTAAGACTTCACCATAGACTTGTATTATAACCCTAGATCGAGCGCGCTGGAATGTTTCCGCTCCACTAAGCAGCACATCATTTGAGCCAAATGAATTGTAAGGGGTAAAAGGTGCCACATTCATTCGTCTATAACGAGACTGGTGAATTTTGCCCTTTATTTGGGCGTAATGGTGATGCCCATGGTAACCACACAACTCGCAGCTAAGCGTCTGTCTTGACAGTGAGCGATCTAAAAGTACAGGTCCATGGCTTGCACTTTCTTTCTTTTTATTCGGGGGGGGGGGGCATGGGGGTTGCGTGTTTTACGAGATTTTTTCACTCTAATCAGAGAAGACTTAGTGTTAGAACCTACCAATCCTAAGACCAGAGGTGTGGTTGAAAGACAGCAGTAAGATTAGTAGGTAGGAGCCAAGGGAAAGTAGTAGAATGGCAGCAGAAAGAGTTAGGAGCCCTGAGGAGGGGGTAAGGGGAAAAGTGGGGGGGGGCCGAAAGCAAAGACGAAAGCTGACAACAGAACATGGCTAGAGGTCAGGATAGAAGGTGAAAGGAGAACTTTTATTTTAAGAGAAGAAAATATTTTAAAGACGAAAAGATTTTTCCCTCTCGCTATCAGGTTTCGAACCGGGGACCTATTGAATGAGAGGCGAAGACCGTATCTCTAGACCACGAGAGCTCCCCGGCTTGCTCTTTGAAAACATCATTTATTCAATCTTTCACCACAATGTATTATATCATGCCACCGTCGAATCAGGTACTCGTCACTTTTGGGGCATATTATGAAGTAATTGGTACAATCTGAAAGCCTGTTCGTTTGACTTGCTTCGGATGAAGAAAAAAAACACCCAGCTATTCAGCATAGATGTCAACATTAAGAAGGTGCAGATCGCCTGGTGTCAAAGATAAAATTAGCTAGAAAATTTGACGTCATACTTTGGAGATATCTGAAGTTGTAGTGTCCTTACAGTTGTGTGCCTTTGAGCAATACTTTTCAATATAATCCACGAAAACATGGACATAAAAGGGGTGCTGTGCCCAAAACAAATAATTTGGTAAAAATTGCCGGACTCAGTGCCGATAGCTGCTCTTACGTCTTCATTTCTCTGCCTGTCTCGTCTTGTGATGTTAAGGGTTTTGCGGAGACATTTCATTTCGCA